AATCCCAACTCAAATAAGCCTACCAACGAGGACAGTACTTACAATGCCTGAAATGGTAATAGATTCCAGTATTGCAATAATAACGTCTCAAAGTAGTACAAGGGCCTCGATGACACCACCACCACAAACACCGATGATAATAAACAACACCTTTGAAACTTTAGAAAATGTTCTGGTTGGATATTGCAATAAAACACATTAGTAGGTACACCTCTACAAACTAGTGAAACATCGGTTTCAGTACTATTAAATAAAGAATACAGAGATGCAATATAAAAAAGATTTATTTAAACCGCAACTCATAAAAAATACTATTAACAGTACACCTACAAATTCTTTTGTAGTAATTTGATCTGCAGAGTGGTGAAAACTTCATGATACCTTTATGAGAAAGTTAAAATAGAGAAGTTAGAACTAAGTTATAAAAGATAAGAAATTTTGAGAAAGAAAAGAATAGAAAAATAAAAGTTAAGGAGTGCTAAAGTTCAAAAACGAAATATTCATGAAGGAAAATGATAGGGTAAGAGTAAATTGCACCTTGTGTCATGATATTTTAATAAGCGATCGATATGGAAATAATTTAAAATAAAAAATTTGTACAATCGACTTCAATATAAATTATTAAGAATAACTCAAAAACTATTGGTCAGACCTTGATCAAATTTATATGGGACCACATGTGAAGCACCAGCTTAGCAAAAAAAGAATCATCGAAATCGGTTCACCCAGTAAAAAGTTATGAGGCACACATAAAAAAGAAAAAAAAAACATACAGTCGAATTCAGTACCGGCTCCTTTTTGAAGTCGGTAGAAAAATATTGGACGTGACTTTTGCAAAAATTTATCTATAGATTTTGCTGGACTAATATATGACCATTTTATTGCCATATTTAACGTCATAACATTTCATTATAATTTTACAAAAACATATTAAGTTAAGTTTTTTTTATTCTTTTTCTATTCTGTCTCCTTAGGATAACTAGGATACCTTAACAGTAGCTGTGGCCGAAAACCAAAATTCTTGTCGGCCGAAATTTAAAATTTGGGGACCGAAAACTAGCATATTACATATTTTTCAAATCAAAAATTATTATAAAAAAGAGTTTTTCCCTGTAGCATGAGTAATAAAAATGAAAACTACATTATGTAAGCAACAAATTAACATTAACAGCACTAGGCCATCATAATGGCAATTGTTTTTCTAGTATCTTAAATTTGACAACTCTACTAAAAGACCGAAAACCAGCGCAACGACCCTATTATGGAAAAGCACGAATTTCGTCTTAAAGACTTCATCGTCTATTTTTCACCCTTAGGTTAGAGTTTTGTACATATTCAAATTTATAAGAGACTACGCCTGAAGTATTACATGAATAAACAAGAATAATTAGAATACATACATTACATACACACAAAAAAAGAACGCAATCGAGTTGAGAAACTCCTCCTTTTTTTAAAGTCGGCTATAGATTTCTCAGTATTCTAGGCCGTAATGTAGATGGTTTCGATTCTTGATTTGATATAACCGTATAACCAGCCTCTTGATTAATGTGGCTTTTGTGTAATTAGTGTATAAGTTCTATGGTTAAAGCTTTTATTAAACCTTTTCAAAGATCTTTTCTTTTCTCCTCCGAATTTATGGATGATAATAACCCCTGGAAATGAGGTGATCGCTACCAAGCTATTTCTAATTTGTTGTGTTGTTAATTTGTGTAACATCATGATTGTAAGCTGTTATTTAAAAAAAAGTCCCGCTGGGTTTCTTGCTGGTTCTTCCCATGACAGAGGTTTTTTTCGAACCAGTGATAATCAAACAAGAGTGACTTTCAATAAGTATTATTTATAATCTATAAGTATTGAATAAAAAAGTTTCTGTTTCTGTTTCCTCACTAGCATCTATACTAAGTTTCAAGCGTCTGAACTAATTTTTAAAACACTTTTTATAGTTCACCAAAGACACCACATTTACACCCTGTTCGAATGCTAACATATCTTCTGACGATAAAACCTGTATCCATTTCAGCTGATTTTTTATTTTCCGGAAGAAAAAGAAGTCTACTCTGCAATATAATATGCTGAATCATGGAATACGTAATTCGCCTAATCTTTTCAATTACAATTTTCACAGCTGGAACTTTTACTTTTGTCATAGCTCCTAGCAACCCTCAAAGAGCGGCCACTTCTGTTAGGTATACCAACAGTACACAATTGCCTTAGAAAGGTTTTTATCCATAAATGCCATTTGAAGTATATTATATGATTCGCACGGTTTAAAACGACATATTTGAAATCGTAAACAATCATCGTGCGAAAATGTCCATAATCCATTTTTTTAATGAAACACGATAGGTGTGGCGTTTCGAATTTTTTTTATAAAGATGATGGTTAATAGCTCTGCTATGATCCAATAGATGGCACTGTAGACAAATTATTAATAAATTCTATATTTATAAACAAAAATGTCTAATATTAAAAAAATATGTTGATTTAGTACCGAAAAACAAAATCTGGATCAGTTAGATGGCGCTGTGAAATTTATGACATCCACGCGCTAATAATATGGGGTGGTGGGTTCTCATACGCGTCCTAAGTACGCGACCGTACATTGCGTTTTTCTCCAAATCATCAATTAATATGCTAGATTTTTATTTTAATACTAAGTTCTGTTACGTAGTACTATTATTTATCCTATGCTTCTGCCTACTGCGGCCATATTCAGCCTTTATATGGCCTCGTAGTAAGGCCTACTGTAATATGAATCTTAATATAGTAGTTACAATTATTACTTTAAAAGCAATTTTATTATTAAATTAAATTTTCTAAATTTAGCTCTATAACTCATCAAAATCACGCATCATTGTCTGTTTGTTTTACCAGCTTCTTCAAAAATTTATAATGCGACAGAAATAATTAGGAGAGCGCCATCTATTGTTAATTTAAATAAGTATTAGTAAGCTGTCCGAATTGAAGTGACAACGTAATATTGCTAATCGTCGAAAGATGGCATTGTTGAATTAAAATTTTAAATAATTAAGGTTAAAAAGGTTCCAAAAACGCTAGTGAAAAACCGGTATTTAGCGGTTCTGATACTAGGACCAGAACACAAATCTAAAAGTTAATGAGAACAGTTAGGCACATTTTTTTTAGTTTAACAGTACCAAACATTTTAATTTCGACAAAAATGCTCCTTAGTGTTATTACTTTTTTGTCCTATGTTCGAAGTATCGATAATATAAAAATAAAACGAAAGTAAAACGCTACGGAAGCTTTTCCATTCAAACATGTTACCTACTTCAAATGCTGATTCAGGGTGGCCGAGCCAGGCAAACGATAGTTAAAGAATTGGTATTTTGAAATCGGTATCCCATAACCGATATTTTAATCAGAATCAGGACCGAAAAATGGAACTTTTATTAAAACCTACATGAAGAACTGTAACGAAATTGGGAACTATAAAATAAATATGTTTGTATTTCTAATATCAACAAAATATTATAATTTTCTATTTCTGTTGAAAATCATTGAAAAAATATAAGAAACAGGATAATAAAACAAAATTATATTATAAAATTTAACTTTTATTCGGCACACATCAAGGATAACCATCCAAAAACACAAATACAAAAATAGTGTTTTAATACATAATTACTTCATCACACTCGTTTTAGGAAAATCATATTTTTGGAATGTTCACAAAAACACACAAAACTTATAAGCCCTGACTTGTTCGTTATTTGTCAAGTGTAACTCATGCTGTGCCTTTAAGACTAGATAGAACTAAGATCGCTTTAAAAGGGATCAAAAACGAAATTTTTGATAAAATACTAGCGATCCGCCCCGGCTTCGCACGGGTTTTTTCTGGATCTCCACCTACCGTGACTAATTGTGTATCTAAACTATCCAGGGACCTTCAAACACACAAAAAAAATTCATCAGAGTCGGTCGAGCCAGTTTAGAATTCTAGGGAGATTATCGTACAGCAACTGATTTTTTTTTAAATATAAAATATGAAGCCGATAGTAGCACACCCGCACCTATCCTCACCACACTTATATTGCTACAATGCCCGTTCGATCGGCAATATATTAAAGAAAAACTATATGTGTTGACACATTACTCTCTGGGCATAAATATTATAAATATAATATAATATCTAAATACAATAAATCTAATTCTTTCACCCTTTGCAAAAAATTCATTAAAACATTCTAATATTTTATTCCATTATCCCTTAATAAGGCCATGGGAAATAATTTCATATTTGAAGTGGTTTTTTACCATCACTAGTTGACTGTCTGAACCAACTCTAGAAAAAACAAAAAGTTTATTATAATACAATTTTAATTTCTGGCAACACAACTTAAAATGTCAAACTGACATATGACAGCAACAAAGTGACAACTGCTAGATCGTTGAGTAAATTCGGCTGTTTTTTCACACTGTGCGAGAGTAGACCTAAATTGTTCTACGGAGATTTCGGTAAGTACAATTTCTTTATAATTTATCAATCTAAACTATATAGGGAAGAGGGGGGCATGACGGGGATGCGAGGCACGACAGGGCCACCCACACTTACAAAAAACTATACGCTCTAGATGTGTTTTGTTTTCGCTAATAGGTAGCTATTTTGTATCTCTCTTTAGTATGACAGTGACCGGCGACTAGACTGCGCGCGTTTGATTTTTAAAACAAAGAACGATTTTCAACGCATTTTTATGTAATTTTGAGTGATTACGAAGACGTATATAAAAAGGTAAGTGTTTATGTCGCTACTATCATGTATTTATTTTGTTTTGCATATAAATTACTTATCTCGTATAATTAGGTTTGTTATTTTAAATAATGTAAGAATTACGGCATAACGAGTATCTACGAGGTACGATGGGGTACCCTGTTATGCCCCACAACCGTTGTCCCCATTATGCCCCTGTTTTGTAAATTAACTGAAGGATCGTTCTTGTTCATTTGATAATATAAAATATTTTGTTTTAGGTATAAAAATGTTACAGACGTATAAGAAGAAAAGTTCGAGACTTAGTTGGTCCATGGAAAACATGAAACAGGCAGTTGATGCAGTCTTAAGCAAAACTGCTGGCTATAGAAAAGCAGCTCACCTGTATAGTGTACCACAGACCACATTAGAGCGTCACGACGCTAAAATAAGGAAAGGCGAGCTGTCTCTTGACTCTACTCCAGGTAACTTCAAGCCCGTGTTTTCGAAACAAGAAGAAGAGGAGCTGGTAAGGTACATTATAGAAATGGAGGAAAGTTTGTTTGGTTTAACCACTATCGCCATCCGGAAGCTAGCTTATCAGCTAGCGGAAAAAATGGTAAAGCTCACAATTTTAATCATGATAAAAAGATAGCTGGCGTAGATTGGTTAAAGGGATTCTTGAAGCGCCACCCATATTTATCTATCCGAAAACCGGAAGCTACATCGGCAGTTCGAGCAATGGGCTTTAATAAAGTGGCTGTGGGTAAATTTTATTCTCTGCTCGGGGAAGTTCGTGCCAAATATAATTTGACGCCAGGCAGAATTTTTAATTGCGATAAGACTGGCATATCATGCGTCTCAAAAACGAAAAGCAAAATTATTGCAGTAAAGAGGAGGAAACAGGTAGGATCGCTTTCTTCAACAGAACGAGGGCAGACAGTTACGGTTGAGGTATGTTTTAATGCAACAGAAACTTACATGCCTCCTACGCTAATATTTCCTTGACAGAGAATGAAGCAAGAGTTGCTCGATCGAGCTCCTCCAGGGACAACAGCAGAATGCAAAGCTAAAGGATGTACGACAACTGAAATATTTATGAACTAGTTCCAACGGTTTGTCAAGTTTTCTGGTGTGTCAATAACTAACCCGGCCTTGCTTTTCTTACATGGTCATGTAACCAAATACAACACATAACCAAATTCTATGCGAAATGATAGTTTAATAAGTAACTAAAGTGTTGTGATCTGTTTTATTATACTGTATATTTTCCTTACCGTCCCCATTATGCCCCCCTTTCCCCTAAAGGTCTTATTGGTATATTACGGCGCACATACTGGTTGTTATTTTGTAAAATTTTGGCCTACTAAATTGGTGGAAATTATTTCCCACTAATTGGGTTACTTATATATATATATATATATATATATATATATATATATATATATATATATATATCAAGTTGGACCAAAATGCACACAGTTAATTTTTTAGGATTGAAGAACGTTATGGCGAATAGAAAAGGAAACGTATTGAAAGAAATGATTTGCAACGGATTGAAGAAAACCTTTCAGATCTATCAGACATCGAGTCTGATGATGATGATGGAATTTTCCAACAAAACATCGTCAGTCCTGCAGATTCTTATCAAATGATGACCAAAGATGAATTAATTGAAATGCGCCTTGAGGATATTTTTGGAGTTGTCGAAATTTACCCCGAAAATAAAGAACAGAAAGACAACATATACTCAAATTTATCACTCAAAAATATTTTAGAATCAGATCAAACTAAACAAAAAAAATTTTGAAGCAATACAACAATATTCTGAAATAGATCCACTACATACAACTCCGAATGAACTTCAAATACAGAGTATGGATATTGGCAGTGATCCTCAGGTAAGAGATCGCTGTTTAGCGATAAGGCCACCTAATTGTACTTTCGGCGATAAATCTAAGTTTGCTGTGTTGTGTAGTTTTTTGTGTGCAATAAAGAGTATAAATAAATAAATAAATAAACTTTCATTACACATGCTTATGTATTCCTTACTATTTCTTCCTTATAATAAATATTCTAAATATTATTTTTTGTTCCAGGTGCGTAAGCTGAACACTGAAACTGAATCAAATGCTGAATTAGATCCACTTTGTACAACTCCAGATGAACTTCAAATACATAGTATGAATACTTCTGTAAATGAAGTTGAAGCTACAATAAATGTTGAATTGTTCAACAATGACATTCAGGTAGATATTTGTTACATTGAAGGTGAGTCATATGAGCTTTTGTACAAAATGAATGCTTATTAATCTATGGTCTATTTTCATTTCAGTTACAAATAACTCAAGTTAAAGCTGAATCAAATCAAAATTTAGAGCATGGTCAGAATGAATCCTTTATAAATAACCCCATTCAGGTAGACCCAGCATATGCCAGTGGAAACCAAGCAGTTAATATTGTAAGCAGAATCTGCCATGGACAAAGTAGAAACATAAACAGACAACCCGCCCGTACAAAGAGAATGGAAAATTGAAAGACATACATGACATACCTGACTATAATACTCCAATTCAACCAAGTTCCACATATACTCACAAAACAGATTCATTAGTTGTTTTTGAGGATTTTTTCCCCAGAATACCTAATAGAAACACTTACGGAACAAACCAACAGATATACACATCAAAAGAGAAATAAGAATTGGCAACTAACTTGTTCTGAGGATATGAAAGCTTACGTTGGGATCCTAATAATGATGGGTCTAAATGGGCCAGACATGGAGCTATATTGGCCTGTACCCCAATACAATAACCCGGAAATTTCGAAATGTATGACATGCGAAAGATTCAAGAAAATTACCGAAAACCTACATATAAATGATAATGCTACTGCGCTAAGTGCGCCCTCTCCTTACCGAATTGAATAAGATCTACAGTGATGCCATGGAAAAACTCTAGTGTTCAATCAATCGATGACTGCATGGTAAAATTTAAAGGAAGATGTTCTCTAAACCAATATATGCCCAAAAAGCCCATTAATAGAGGCTTTAAAATTTGGACATGTTGTGATTGTACAACTGGGTATTTATATCAATTTCAAGTTTACAGGAAAAGGCGAAAACGTGGAAGATGAGGGGCTTGGTTATAACATGGTAATGAAACTTTGCGATAACTTGCCAGAAAATACTCTAGTTGCATTCGACAACTTTTTCACGAGCTGCAACTTACAAGATGATCTGTACCATATGAAAATATTCGCTTTTGGAACAGTGAGAACAAACCGGAAAGATCTTCCGAACATTACGCAAAAAGCTCAACCTAAAAATCTTAAACTTCAAAAGCATCAATTTACATCTATAACTGGCAAGCCTATTACTGCAATCAAGTGGCTAGATACCAGAGATGTCACTGTGTTAACAGCCCGTCACCCAACTGATGTGTTGTTTGTAAAAAGAACAAAATGACGGTTCAAAGCAATCTGTTTTATGTCCTAAAGCCATAGCAGACTTATACCCTAAGCATTGGCGGAGTCGACAGATTTTACCATTTTAGATCGTCTTATCCGATGAACAGGAAGACGCCAAAGTTTTGGATGTAATTGTTTTTCTTCGATGCATCTATAATAAACGCATATATTACTTACAACACTTGTCATGTAATAAATGGTCATTCTCACAGAAATTTTTGGCATCGATTAGCTCGTGGACTCATAGGAAACTATAGTACCAAGAAGTATTGGTATTTAAAAATAAAGGATCAAGATATAGTGTTCCTGATGAAATAAGACTTTTTAGCGTTGGTGTTCATCTGTCAGAAGAAGGTAACACATATAAAAGATGTCGTCTGTGCAGCACAAAAAAGCAAGAAAAACGAACCAAAGTAGTTTGCTCAACATGTCAAGTTGCCTTATGTCCACAAAGATGTTTCAAAAGTTTCCATCTAGCTGAACCACAAAACCGATAAATAATTTTGTATATTGTCATTTTGAATTTTACTTTAGTACCTATTACATTTCTGCCCTGAATTTAGATATATATTGTATTCCCTAGGTAGGAAACACCTTGAGAGAAAATGTAGCACTTGTTATTCCGCTCATGAGACTGTGTACAATTGTACATAGGAAATTTCATCAATATCAATTCTGTACTTTAGCAGAAAAAATTCGCCCACTTCATGCCAAACAATCGATTGTCTATTGTTTAAATGTATTTTATTACCAAATGCAAAAGAAAAACAAACCAAATGCTTATGTTCTTGTACAATTTATTTAAAAGAAATTGTACAAGAAATTTTAAATATATTCTCAAGAGAACCCTAGGGCATGAATTAGTTTTTTAAATAAACTTGACCCTGGTCGGGCAAAGGGTGTTATCATCCCACCCGAGTTGGCAAAATATTGTTACAAACGGGCAAGGGGAAATAATTTCCCACGAACAAAAACACCCCCCGCCCCTCCACCTCCTAAAAGAATTATCTATTTTTTTATTCTTTATTATAAACTTACTAATATTCAATGGATCAACATAAATAAATAATGATAAAAGCCCAGGCCCGAATAAGGATTAAAGTGTTACTAGGCACAAATATTTATTTTCTTTGAGTTAGTAGTTTCTCGTAACTATATAAATAGATTATTCTCTCTTTATATTGTTATTCTTATTAATAAATGCAAAAATTTTAAACAATCGCTGTATTATTTTTCGTGGAATATTATTAAGGCACAATATATATTTTGTTTCTGGATATAGTTCGATATATATATATTATATTCAACAACGTTTTTTATAGAACGACTCATTTTGGTTAATGTTTTAGGACATTATATTAATTTTTAATTTTTAATAACAACTACTATGTGCTCAGTAATTTTGATCGATACAGATAATATTTATTTTTGACATAACTACAAAACGAAAGATTAGAAATGTACATTTTCAAAGTATCGATTAAACTCACTCACTTAGCATACTCTTTTCTTCTTTGATAACCACAAAACGATACGCGTTTCATTTTCTCTTAGACAACTACTCGTATTTTATTACAATCCATAAATATGAAAATATTACTCACCAGTCAACAAAAGATAGAGTGTCAAAGAAACTAAGGTATGGTATTGATTATCCAATAATACTTTTTTTACTATTGTGAAATCGTACATATATGTTTTGCCATTCTGTGATAAAATCTATGTGATATAATTTATTTCTATACACAACTAAGGCTCCGGCTACACACAACGACTTACATGCACAATTTGCGCAAACAATATGGTGCACTTGCACAACGTCAACACGATAGCGACTTGCATGCGCAAACATTTTGTACAAAGTTTTCGCAAAGAACATGTGTGGCGTCCACATGTCACACGTCTGTCTTAACATACATGCTTGCTTGTGCACGTTTAATTTGAACAAATTTAGCATTTGTGCAAGCCATTTGCACGGTATACCGTCATGCGAGCTTAACGTACATGCTTACTTATGCAAATTAGAATTGTACAAGTAAGATTGAGCGCGTAACAGAGCCCTAAATTGTAATTACCAAAAGAAATTTAAGAACTTTTACAGTGCCGTTTTTATATCATTTAATATGTGAAATCAGAATTTTAATTTCATATATTTGTTAAACGTAGTTTTTAGCTTTTCTTATATTTTTCAAAAAATTCGACTAAAATGGGTACAGTACAAAAACTTACACGCTACTATCGCTATTACAAATTCCATGTATTCCCAGTGGAATTCATCCTCCTGCTATTACTCGATTTAGCCCGTTAATAGTTGATAAAAAATAGTGGTGTATGAAGGTGTAGCAATCTTGTAATATATTAGTTGCTAGGGACTGGGGTCTTCGGCCCATTGTGAGACCGGACCAAACATTACCTAAGTCACTACGACCAAGCTTGAATATTGCCATCCCTTTGCAAACGAGCAATCTCCACTCGCAGTTTCTTTTCGTGGTCGATGGCGGCGCGCATTTCAGATTCCTTCTCGACAGCTGCGTCGAGACGTTCCTTCTGCAGTCTTAAACTATTCAATTGCGATTGTAGGGCTGTTATTGTCGAATATTCTGTGTTCTTTAGCTGAAAAAGAAATGTAGTAGCTTCAAGTTCAGCTTCCACCTAAGCGGTTTCAAAATTAATTTATATTTAAATATTAAAAAAACGTGTGTTCCGTACTACTCTCATCCACACTTTTTAAAATGGTCTAGTCTCAATAGATGACTAATTAAAATTTCAGTTTTTACTTCCGAAAAAACACTAGATTCGATTTAAATTAATCAGATGTTCAATATACAATTATGCGTCGAATATAATTGGCTTGGAGATGACACCATCGTCACACACACTACCTTACAGTTGTGAAACGCCTTGGCGAAGCCGCCGCTCGCGTAGCTATTGACGCAGCCAGCGTGTATGCTAGGGGTTGTCACAAAAATGGAAATAAAATAATTTTGGATATTGTAAATCATTTTTTAACATTATGAACATACTTATAGAATAAAGAGAAGGTAACTTTAAGCCTTTCTTAAATTAAGGCCGATTTTTATGAGAAGGCCGAATGTGTCTTGGTGATTAACAAACTATTTTTATCCCTTTATTAATATTAAAAATTATATAATACAATGACCCTTTCATCTAACCTGAGTCTCGCGCTCTCTTGCACGAACTTCGTGATGGAAGTTCTCCATTTGCTGGAGAATCTTCTCCCTCTCCAGCACATTGGCACGCTGCAGCTGTCTGCCGGCATCGATCTTCTCCTGTACTTGTCTACTTAACGTTGATAAGACTTCCTTCATTAGAATCGAGCGTGCTTCGCGCTCTTTTGCCCAGAGCTGAAAAAAATATATACAATAGTAGACCACGTCGACATCTTACAAATAAATTTATGAACTATCAACTGCGCTACTAACAAAAAGGCATGTTGTATTCAATACCTAATTCCTAATGTGTAATGAGCATCTTCCTAATAACGACTAAAAATAAAATCTGCCATTGCCAACCCGCTTGCCAAGCGTGGCAACTATGAAAAATATCCCCTCTATGGCAATCTAAGGGGGAGATATATATGTTCAGTTGTGGACTTTAATAGGCTGTAACGGTAACAGATATGGATGACAAATCTTTTTCGACGGTCACCGCTGGGACTATATGGGTCTTCACAACTTTCTAAACCAAACGATAAACTTCAAAACGATTTAACAATAACAATATAAATTTTTCATGATCACTACGTATTATATCATGGTTATATACCTTGTCCTGTTTCTCGTTAATCTGTCTCGCTTCACCGTCGTACATTGCCTCGATATTCTTCTGTCTCTGTCGCTCCCTCTCCCTGTGCTCCTTTAACTCTTGGAGTGCCGCGTCGAGAATTCGTTTGTAACTTGCGCATTTGTCTTGCTCCAATTCAAAGTCCTGGAATAGATTCTTATAATGAATTAGATTATAGTATAACAGGCTATTTTATATGCATTACCCGGAAAAAGGTAGTCCTCGAAGCCGGCAACTCGTTCCTATCACCGGGAGGGCGACTATTCTGTCCCAAAGAGGTGTCGTATTCATCATCGTCCATAAGGATCTCATTAACAACCTGGTCAAGATCAGGAGATTGTCGACAAGGATTGCGTAGGTATCTTACACTCAGATTCACCAAATAGTACTAGTTGATGGTCATTAAAGATTACGCACTGTTTCCACGTCCCGGTGAGAAAGTGCAGAAAATTTATGAGGATTTCTTTAGAGCTATACATTTCCTCAAAACCGATGCACAAACACATAAATGGGGAGGTATACAAAAAAGTATACCTCCCCATTTAAGAACACATTGGCCGTTTAAGAGCAAATTGTTGGCGTTAAACCAATGGACTCATTTCGATAGAGAATTATTTACATTGTCAAAATTAATTAACTGTCGTTTGAGTTTGAAAATTAAAGAAATATCATTAGCAAATAATACTATATCGTGATTGTCCCCTACAAGATAAGGTAACACATAAATATAGACTAAGAACAGGAATGGGCCAAGAATCGAGCCCTGAGGAACGCCCATTAATACTACTGATCTGGAGGAACCTTTACCATTGATAACGACGTGGTAGGTATTAACATGATGTTAATACCTACTACGTAGATATTAACATCATGTTTACTAGAAGATATCGCCATAGATGCAATCAACCAGTAGTAAAGTGTACATCTGTAATTCAATGTTTACTTACCCTAATTACAGCTTTTTGCATCTTCTCTAACATATTTAAATCTAACTCTATCTCTTTCATCACTCCTGCTACTTTTCTTTTTAATTTATATTTATGTAAGCCCAAATTCACAATATTTGTGTCTCGCTCTGATATTAGCTGAGCGTGTTCTCTTTCTCTTTCATCCGAAATGAAACGTAGTTCATCCAATATTAACTTCTCCCTTTCCTCTTGTTTTCGGAGTTTTTTGACGACTGTCTCTTTCTCGCTTAGTTCTGCTATCTGCCCTTCGAGACTCTCCCGGAGTTCCTGAAACAAATTAGGGTTCATAAGGATTGTCGGTTAGCGTAAGAAAATTCAACAGCTCATTTCGTGCCGTAGATGGCGTAAGAGGCGGCTGTGGGAAAGGTTAGATGTGGAAAAACTAAAAGCTCCATAAAAACTCGCGTTAAAAAACACATAGCTGTTGTGAAGAATCGACGCTCTGGGAAGTGTGCAGTCTGTGAAAACGTACAGGATCGCCCCCGTCACTACATTAGATTTGATAGACCACAAATCCTCGCTTAAGAACGCCGATTCCTTCCAAGGATGATTCGCGAGGCTATTGAAATCAAAAAACATCCTAATTTCAATATAGAAGATGGCTGGGTGCTACCATCTGCTTATGATCCCATAATTAATAAAATTAAATCCCAATCCAAGCATACGACTGCAAGACTTCAAGATACTGTAAGTTCATACTGCGTAGATCGGAACAAAAATTAATAACTTTTAATCTGGAGTTAGCCGTGGTGATGGATGGGACATCATACACCTTATGTGAAGTGCCCCCCCCCCCCACCCGTGACCATGGATGCGCTGTAAAGAGCTCGAAACGTCGGGAATATAAAATAAGTTAATATACGCGATAAAATCCGTAAAATTAGTTTTAATTGGCATACGATAGATAGTGACGATAACTAAATTTTTTTTAAATATCCGAAACAAAAACAGGTGATGATTTTCAAACGGCTGAACAGAATTTCTTGAAACAAAACAACACTCTCGATTAAGATACCTTTCAAACTAAAAAAACTTAACCAAAATTGGTTCATCCGTTCAGGAGATATGATGCTACAGACAGACACACAGATACACACTACTCTGTTTTCGTCGGGGGTTAGAAAACAGGTGCAAGTTATTTGGCACTGCGATCACCCATCATTTAATCCGTGAAAATAATGGCAATCCTCCATACATTGACATTACCAGAAATGAACTGAGCCGGTGTTATAAACAAAAAATAAAAAGGTTTTTTTATAGGATAAAGGTGACGAACAAGCAACAGTCCACCTGTTGGTATGTGAACAGTGTTGGCCCATAGACACCTTGAGGACTAAGATGAAATGCCTCGATTTCAGTTAAGAGTTTTAACAGTGGTAGAGCCACGTGGCAGCTCTTGCTGTTGCACGGATGGGCCGGCTCGAACCGGGGTAGTACCACGACCTCACAGAAAACCAGCGTGAAGTAGAGGTTTACCTCTGCGTTTCGCTTGGTGAGTACAAGTGGCCGGAGGCCCTTTTTACTGGAAATGAGGCATTCCATCTTAGTCCTCACGGGTGACAACGCATCTACATTTTGATTTGTAACAGAGGATAGATGTAGATGTCTATGGGCCGCAGCAACCACTTGCCATCAGGTGGACTGTGTGCTCGTTTGTCACCCTTATCCTATAAAAAAAAAATATACCTACACTTACCATAAGAAACACAGCAGCATTAATCTGCTATTTTCTACCGACTTCAAAAAGGAGCCGGTACTCAATTAGACTGTATGTTTTTTTTATGTGTTACCTCATAACTTTTTACTGGGTGAATCGATTCGATGATTCTTTTTTTATTTGAAAGCTGGTGATTCACATGTGATCCCATATAAATTTGATCAAGGTCTGACCAATAGTTTTTGAATAATTCTTAATAATTTATATTAAAGTCGGTTGTAGAAAATTTTTTATTTTAAATTATACACTGTTGAGAGTATGGTCCTTCCCCCGATCGAGCCGACTCATTCGTACTACAAGCATAATATAGCCGCAGCATGGCTGTACTACGTAATAAAATATAAAATAATATCAACATTATAGTTTCTACTTTCAGGACATGATTCTTCTATATACTATATCTTACCTTTTAATTTTTATAAAAAATAATATTTGTAACCTTTTGGATCTTGTAGTGATCATAGATATTTTTTAGACTTTGATCAGTCTTCGAGAGGGGCAAAGGTCGCTAACGTTATTCTTTAGTATTTTATATTTTTATAAAAATAATAATAATAAGTAGTTGATGAGACATCGGATATTATTATCAGGACAATAGTATCCGATTATTGTCAGAGTTCCCATGGCGCTGTTTGCAATGAGTAAAATGAGACAAGTTGTCCTCTCTCAACGTAGGGCCCTCCTAGGTATGACTGGCGCCAATGAGGCTGCGAATGTATGTGAAACCGTTGCGTAGCCCTTGTAAATACTAGACTTGTTTTTTTTATAGGATAGGGTGACAAACGAGCACACAGTCCACCTGATGGTAAGTGGTTGCTGTGGCCCATAGACATCTACATTTATCCTCGATTATGAATCAAAATGCAGATGCGTTGTCAGCCGTGAGGACTAAGATGGAATGCCTCCTTTCCAGTAAAAAGGGTCTCCGGTTCTCTACGCTCACCATACGAAACACAGCAGCATTAAGCTGCTATTTTACGCTGGTATTCTGTGAGAGCGTGGTCCTTCCTCGGTCGAGCCGACCCATTCGTGCTACAACTATGCCAGAAATATAGCTGCAGCATGGCTCTACCATGTAAAACACGTTGTTCACAAGCTTTATATTTTCTTAAACAGTATTAATCACCTTCATTTGTTGCTCCTTCTCCTTTAATCTCTCTTCTTCAATTTGAATTTGTCTGCGTAGGGCTTCATCTCTTTCTTGCAAACATTTCCGTGTCATCTCTTCTTCCTTTTTCTTTTGTAACTCCTTCTCAACGATTTGATTCATCCTTAAACAATAAAAAGAAAGATCTAAAAGTTTTTAAAAAAATTAAGAAAATAAAAAAGAGCAGAAAAATAGACGTTTTGAGATTTCATTCAAACTCACATCTGGGCTTATCGTAAAGGTATTTAAGTGAAAACGAGTGCTCAGTGCGACACTGAAACATATAGGCACTGCGAAGCTAAACAATTTCTCAGGAAGTTATCACCTCGGTCTAAAACGAATAGCAAACTATCACAGATATTTGATGAATACCTTTTGCTATAATAAACTAATACATGATTCATTTTTTTTAGGTTTACCGACAAGGATTACATCAATACAAAATTTAAATGATATAAAGATTTTAACGAGTTTCCCACCGAGAAGCCTCAAAACAAGGTGTGACAGACCAAAGACCGGACATTGGCAGGATATTGTGACATAACCACAATACCAAGGGCCATATTGATAAAAAAAAACAAACAATTTAACGACTTTTCTCAATCGTCACTTGTGGCAGGTGGATATATGAGCAGACATGTCGCATCTGCCGCAGATGCAAAAAAAAACCGGCAAATATAACATAGTTACATATAAATAGTTATACCAAGCCGACTTAAGTTTTCCATTCGCAACATAAGTATTTGCTGCTCGCAACTCCGGTTGTCTCAATCTCCAAGCATGGTGAAGCCGTAGTTCCGCTTCTTGTCTTTGGAGTTGCTCCTCCTTCTGCATGATACCCTGGTTAATATCTTGAAGAGTCGACGTTGGAACTTTGTTGAGAAAGGACCTAAATATGGAAACAGTAACCGATATATGTATTGTGCTAGTTAAAATAAAGTAATTCATTATCATCACAAGTAACAGTCCATTACTAGACATGAACCTTTCCCATCAAAGTGGGGTCACCGATGATACTCCTAGCACGCCTTTACATTAAGTCTGAAATTACTAGGAAACATTTTGCAGCGTGAGTCCAATCATCTCAGGAATGAGAAGAAGCCTGTATAAGTCACGGCACGTAAGTCTACCGCTGAACGAAACGTGGAGGGGATAGCTGCGCATGGGTACTGTCGCGCACGAATTGAATTGCACGAATGCGCCTGGAGAGCCAATCAGCGCGTGTGAATGATACGCACGCGCCAATCAGCGCATGCGAACGACACACGCCCGCCCCACAACCCGCTTACTACCCCATGATACCTTATTTTCGACTTATGCCCAATAACGGTCACCGCTAGACTTTCGTGCCGCTACTTATACTCAGCTGTAAGAGCCGCATATGCAAACAGCGCAAACATCTCGAAAATAGATCACCCAGCATTGGGGAGTATACAGACTGGGTATATTTATGCCGATTTTTCTATGTTTACTGACCAGAAGGTCAGCTATGAATGTAATTATAAAAATAGATTATGGTTTCTTATATTTACGCGAACACTACACATTTAATAAAAGTAGTTTTATTCAACAAAAATAGATTTTAAGTTTTTATATAAAAACGTAATTTCAGCTGTAGTTTAAATTCAGGATACATTATGCTGTCCATAAAAACTTAGCACAGCCTATCAAAAGTCCATTGCTGAACGTAGGCCTCTACCGTAGATTACCTCATAATATAATATACATACTGCTAATTTACGCTGGTATTCTGTGTGGGCGTGATCCGTCTCCGGTTGAGCCGACCCATTTTTACTACAACTATAATATAGCGATAGCATGACTCAACCACTATATAAATTACATCTCTCTTAGGGGAATTATCCATAGCTGCCACAAATTGCAGGTGATTTGGCAATCGAATTTTTTATATTAATCTTGCGTTCTTATCAGAAAGATACTGCTGGCCATCTCTTGTTTCAGTTTCCTTCTGTCGTCCCTTACGACACCCACAAGATGGCTTAAGGGTAGTGGATTCTCATACGTCACTATTACACGGCCACGGAAAATAATATAAAAAATATAAATGCTTTAATTTTCTTCCCCAACATAGTCCTCCATTTTTTTTATAGGATCGGATGACAAAAACCACACAGGCCACCTGATGGTAAGTGGTTACTGTGACCGATAGACATCTACATCTATCCTCAATAAAGACTCAAAAAGCAGATGCGTTGTCACCTGGGAGCACTAAGATGGAATGCCCCTTTTCCAGTAAAAAGGGTCTCCGGTTCTCTACACTCACCATACGAAACACAGCAGTGTTAAGCTGCTATTTCACGCTGGTATTCTGTGAAAGCGTGGTCCTTCTCCGGTAGAGCCGCCCCATTCGTGCGACAACTATACAACTAATATAGCTGCAGCATGGCCCTACTACGTTACAATATTGAATTTGTTGAATCTTTACCAATTTGGTTGGTTATAACAAATACCTGACTGAATTATTTTTTAGATTACAAAGATAACACACACTAATTTAAGCCCATAAAGTCAAAAATTAAAAATAGAATTACCCATTCTTGAAATATTTGGGCTGTGCAGCTAAATTTTTCAATTCTTGTTGGTACTGCATATTTTCCTGGAATAGCATCAGTTCCAATTTCTTACGTCGCTCTTCTAACTGTCTAAAAATATACAGGATATTAAAAAGTAATATAATGGTTAGCCTGGGCCTGTTCTAATTTTTGTTTCGTTTTATAAAACTGAAGTGATAAACGAAGTTATAGTTCACGTAGTAGTAAGTGACTACTGCATTCCATTCCAACTTTAAATAAATAAACTACAGATTCATTATCACCTCTGAAGTCTAAGATGGAATACCTCACAGACTGTAAATATGCTGACTCTTTATATCTTCCAAACGACTGCCGATTGCCGGCAGAAATTGGTAAGAGGATTGTAACTACCAGAATAGAGTCCTAGGCAGAAAGAAGTCCTATTATTTACGACTGACACTGTGCACATAGTTTTGATTTTTTATAAATATATGCAGTTTTCCCCACCACCAAGTTTTTGGTTAATCAGTACTTAAAATTTTAACAAGGAGTTTTAGCGATGGTGGCGCCGAACTAACAAAAGAGTGTCATAGAAATAACAGTTGAAATAATTAATGTGGAGGCAGTTACCATACATAAATTGAACAAGGACACACCCAGACCCGTAACAATTATTTGTTGGCCATACAAATACTTTTTACGTGCGGAATTCGAACCCGCAGTCTTAAGAGCCGCAACTTAATGAAAAACCACCAAATCCAATTTTGATCACAATATCTTTAATATTTAACCATAGTCATAATCTAGACTAAGGAAGTTACTGTTTCTTTTTCATCGTCAGCCCAAATAAAGATACCATAGAGAATTAATCTACTTACGCAGCTCTTTTTTTCTTTTCGCTAAGTATCTCTGCTTCTCTACTTGCTCTTTCATAGTAATCCTCAGTGGTCCACTGCTCATGATGTCTCGATTTATTAGTGTGAGTTTCAAAATATTTTGCTACCCTTTTTAGCTCTTCAGCTCGTCTCAGCTCATTATCCCTTTTTTGAGCTGCCAATGCTTGTAGTTGCCACTGAGGTCTTGGACGAGACATGGTCTGATGACATACCACAATTAAAAATTAAAAAGGTTTTTTTATAGGATAAGGGTGACAAACGAGCATACAGTCTGCCTGTTGGTAAGTGATTGCTGTGGCCCATAGACATCTACATCTATTCTCGATTACGAGTCAAAATACAGATGCGTTGTCTGCCGTGAGGACTTAGATGGAATGCCTCATTTCCAGTAAAAAGGGTCTCCAGTTCTACACTCACCATACGAAACACAGCAGTGTTACGCTGCTATTTTACGCTGGTATTCTGTGAGAGCATGGTCCTTCCCTGGTCGAGCTATAATAATTTATTGATAGTTCTTGCTACAACTATACCACTAATGCAGCTGCAGCATGGCTCTACCACGTTGAAAATAGTATACTCAAAGAATTTATTTACAAATTATATTTGAAAATAACAGTATTTGTTTGTTGAATATTGATACCATAAGAGATTTTATTATATTATAAAAAGACTAATATCAGCATTTTCAAACATTACTATGAGTCTCACACCGAGTTACAATGCACAGGGTACAGAAATTGTAATGTTTAACAACAATTTGAGGGAACAACAACACTACTTTACGATACGCAGAGTACAACAAATTAACACAAATGTCAAATTAGTAGTTAGTTTTGTTAGTTGCATCAGTTTCAACTTGCGATGGATTACAGTATCAAAGAAAAATATTGTATTAATATCCTAATAACTGATGAGAACGAGTAATAACCTACAAAGAATCATCAACACAAAAAAAGTGATATGTTACTTTCAAATCCTTTTGATTATTACAGCCCCGATGTATTTGAAAATTGCTATAAAATTTTAAGTTATTTTATTATTATAAATATGGATGAAGGGTATGTAAATCACTATGCATATTATATTATTATTGTTATATATCGCTATGTTACGAAGAGAGAATAAATTTAATGACAACCATGGTTTTGACCATTTGACATTTGTTTATCTATCAGTCAACTCGAGTGAAGTCCCATCAGAATGGTAACCAACCACAGCACCCTATTCAATGCTAAGCATGCCTATAACGAAGAGTCCTTTTAGTATTGTTTGTGAAATGAAGGGCTTGCCATACCAAACACACCGAGAACAACAAGAACACATAATTGTCCTATCACATACAATTACTATTTTAAAGTCTAAGCAGTTGCTTTACAAGAAATTTCTCCAAGATCTATGAGATGTACAGTGTAGTGACAGCATAATAGAACCTACTACTCTTTGTTATCTCTATGGTGTCCTAAGAGTCTAAGTTTCTCTCGACTGAAGGAAAATGAAACAGGAGATGGGCAACAGTATCTTCCTGGTAAGAACACAATAATAACCCTACCACCTCACTTGGCAGGGTTGACAGCAGCAGTTTTGGCAACAGCTTTGGCAAATTTTCCTAAGAGGAAAACTATGGCAAAGCCTATGTTCAGCAGAGGATTTTGGACAGTATCTAATGAATTATTGAATGAATAGGTGTGAATATGATGAGGTTCTTAGGTTTATAGTCAAAGCAAAGATTTAGTGCATGACTAGTTGATGACATGTATTACTGAGGAATTATTTGTTTTCTCTAAAATAGAAAATAGAATATTTTCTATCGTATCATGATTTTTAATTTTAATAAGGAAGAAAACACTGCTGGTCATATGAGGAAGCTCAAGGTCGCTCAGCGAGCTATGGAGAGAGCTATACTCGGGGTTTCTCTGCGTGATAAACTTAGAAATGAGGATATCGGCAGTAGAACCAGAGTAACCGACATAGCCCAATGGATTATGGATGCAGGTGGCTCAGGACCGTGCTTTGTGGCATTCCTTGGGTGAGGCATATGTTCAGCAGTGGACTTATGAAAGGCTGTAAAGGCTGATGATGATGATGAAGGAAGAAAAGGTATGAGCTTTAGTGCAATGCCATGATCCTCCTGAGGCTAATACTGGGAAATTCATATTCATTTCGCTAAAATTAGGAAAATACAGATTGTATGAATTGTATAACATATATTTACAAAATGAATACCATTGATCCTTTAGATCAGTGATTCCCAACCAGTGGTCCACAAGAGCTTAGATATGGTCCATGAAAGATTTAAATATTTTACCTACCTAATCGTTTTAAATAACACATTTATTATTTTCTCATCACGCAGGCAGTGCAACACCGCATGTCACTTTAGTAAGTACCTACTAGCTTTTATAATAAATACACAAATAATACTGTTAATGAATGTTTCCTTTCAGTTTATTATATAATTATGTTAAAAGTTGTGATTATAATGTATTGTTAGATTAACAGTTTTTTCTTTCACCTTGTGGTCCCGGCTAAATACAAAAAAATCAAAGTGGTCCCTGGTCGAAAAAAGGTTGGGAAACCCTGATCTAGATCCACTCACATTATTTATTTATTTATTAATATAAAGTCTACTCCCTTAACTAGTAATGGGTATGGTTAAAATAAAGCATACTTCTAGGAGACCTAATGTGATTTAGCCATGAGGCATTCTCTACCATTCAACTCTGGGGATAAAGTCAAAAATTTTAACAGGTGCAAACTTCTTATGAAAAGATAAAAATTAAAAATTACCACATCTAAGTATTAAATATTATTTAACATACTCTCAATGTAAATATTTTTTTTTATTTATTTTTTCTTTATTGCATTCCTTAATCTAAAAGAATACAAAGGGCGGACTTAATGCCTTGTGGCATTCTCTACCAGTCAACCCATGGAGTGGTGAGAATTTGAATATTATGGAACACAAATAAATTTGTTATATATATATATATATATATATATATATATATATATATATATATATATATATATATATATATAACAAATATTAATATATAATATAAAATATATTCTTATTCCACAATATAAATATTCAACTTTAGTAATGTACAAATTTTGACAGCCTCAAATAATATTTGTCATTTGTCAAAGAAGTATTTTCAGAGATTTTGTGTCATTCTTACATCATTGGAGATAGTATTCCATAGAAGAATAGCCGGCACAGCTTAGTTTTCAAAAAAAATCTTACCAAACATAAAGTAAGCTATAAAAGCTATTTTTGGTGATTAAAAATGTAACAAAGAAATGAGTCATTCTGTGAAATCAATAATTACCAACCTGTTTGCTTGACTACACACACCAGATAATTTCACGAATATGAATAAAGATTACTCGAATAATTCGACCTCAGTTTGCAATGACTGGACCGTTTATTTCACTTCACGTGGGCGCTTAACGTCGAGTAATTTGACCAGAGGTCAGTCACATAATTAAACTACATACATTTTCCTTCCAATCATGTTGTGTTGAAGATTGTTTCTTGTCACGAGGTCATGATACAATAATTAATAACATATCTCGTTCTCGAAACAGCACAAAACATTACCTAGAAGTTCATTTAAGTTAAAGTTATAAGAATACTTTAGCAATTAACCAAAGATAATAATAATTTACTTATATAAATTATTATTATCTTTGAATTAGAAATATTATTTTGATTTTTTTTTGTTATAAATTATTATGCTTACCTACAAAACATGACAGTAGATCGTTGCTAAGCAACCAACTAGTGATGGGTCAATCCGAGTTACAAACTCGAGTTAACTCGAGTTGGATCTCTCTAACTCGAGTTTGGGCTGCTGTACATGAACGGATCAAGGAGCCAGCAAAAGAGTAAGCGCGCGATTCGTTCGATGTATGCGCGCTATGGCTTTCAAAGGGTATTTAGCTACAACCAAAACAATTTGTTATTTAGAATTTTATAAAAGCTAAGTTATAGAATTTAATGTCTTTTGTAATTTTGATTAATAATGATCAATTTAGTTATGTAAGTCACAGACCTATTATTGTAATGCTCAAAAAGGGTGGTAAGTTGTAAGATATAATTATCATATTTTAAATTAACGCTAAATGTAACACTTTTTTTTATAAGATCGGGTGACAAACGAGCACACAGTCTACCTGATGGTAAGTAGTTGCTGTGACCCATAGATATCTACATTTATCCTCGTTTGCGAATCAAAATGCAGATGCGTTGTCACCCGTGAGGACTAAGATGGAATGCCTCTTTTCCAGTAAAAAGGGTCTTCGGTTCTCTACACTCACCATACGAAATATAGCAGTGTTAAGCAGCTATTTGACGCTGGTATTCTGTGAGAGCGTGGTCCTGCCCCGGTCGAGCCGACCCATTCGTGCTACAACTATACTACTAATATAGCTGCTGCATGGCTCTACCACGTATAAACTTAAATTACTATAAACATTTCGAGCCGCGTGGTTACCTCTGATAGTGTCGATTTTGTTAGCAAATTTATGCAACGACGAGGAATTGTGTAGTCTAGAACATTAGACGCCGGGTTGGCTAATTGTTGAGAAGTTAATGTTTAATTGTACCGTTGCGTTAAGTGCCTTAAAAGGTCGCGTTCGGTTTTCGAAATAATTTGTTGCGGAGTGAACGGAAGTGAACTTTGACCCACCGTTCATCAGTCGTGCGGCGTGTTACGTTTTTGATTATAATTAATGGGATTTAGTTGAGTTTGAACGTCAAGTGCTAAACTTTGTGACCCGCGAGAACCAGCGTTCGTATTAGATTATAGATTTGTGCTAATGGACGCTAGATTTTGTGCCAATGGACGACACCAAGTGATGCCGCTGGAGTGATACCACATAGGGTGGCAATGCTGGAGTCAGGGTTGCTGCTGATTAAAAAGGGCTAATTCAGGTTACACATATATACACTTCTCACACACTACTTACATTCACGACAATTAACGCCTGAACGAGCCCTGTGATCCTTCTTCGCCTCTGAACAGGTACGTGCTATTTATTTACCTAGCCTTCTCCCTATTGTGTAGTATGATAGGACATTTTCCATAAGGAATTTTGAGCCCCACACTTAGTTGTCCGTCGAATCTAACAGTTGTATGGGCCCCTGTATGATCGACCTTAGTCTGGGCAACTAGGTGCGTGAACATTGTTG